TGATGATGATGACGATGATGGTGTCCCGATGATGATGATGATGATGATGATGATGATGATGATGATGATGATTCCGATGATGTTGGTGATGATGATGTTGATGGAAATGGTGTCCCGGCGATAATAATGTTGATGATGATGTTGATGATGATGACGGTGATGGTGTCCCGATGATGATGCTGATGATGATGATGATAATGATGATGGTGATGCTGATGGTGTCCCGATGATGATAATAATGATAATGACGATGTTGGTGATGATGTTGCTCATGATGATGATGGTGCCCCAATGATGATGATGATGATGATGATGATGATGTTGTTGATGATGATGATGATGTCGCTGATGATGATGCGATGAGCATGATGATGATGGTGTCCCGAGGATGATGACGATGTTGACGAAAATGTTGATGATGAGAACGATGGTGATCATGATGGTGTCCCGATTATGATGATGATTCTGATGATGCTGCTGATGATGATGACGATGACTGTGTCCCGATGATGATGATGATGATGATGATGATGATGATGATGATGATGATGATGGTGGTGATGATGATGATGTTGTCCCGATGATTATGCTGACGTTGGTGATGATGTGTATGATGATGATGATGATGATGATGATGATGATGATGATGATGATGATGATGATGATGATGATGATGACGGTGCCCTCATGATGATGACGATGTTGGTGATGATGTTGATGTTGATGATGTTGATGATGATGATGAGGAGGAGGATGATGATGATGACGTTGATTGTGAGAGCGATTGTGATATCGATAGTGAGATCGATATTGAGACCGAATGTGAGATCGATTGTGTGATCGATTGTGAGATCGATTGTGTGATCGATTGTGAGATCGATCGAATGAGATAGATCGAGTGAGATCGATTGTGAGATCGATCGAGTGAGATCGATCGAGCGAGACCGATAGTGAGATCGATACTGGGATCGATAGTGAGACCGATCGAGTGAGACGTTGGTTCCCCCCCCCCCGAACCTCCTTATCACCCGAAGGGTGGTCGTGTAGGTCATATAACTGTTGTTGTTCTTCTCAGTATCACTCGTATTCGTGTTAGTAGTCATGAAACTATGTTTATTATTACTCTTTTCTTCCTCCTCCTCCTCCGCTTCCGCCTCCTCCTCCTCCTCGCCCCTCGTTCCATCATCCCGCTCCTCCTCCTCCTCCTCCTCCTCCTCCTCCTTCACCCTCCTCCTCCCCCTTGACCCTCGTCGCCCACAACCCTTCGCCTCCATCCCCATGCTCCTCCCCACCCTCGTCCCTCCTCCCTCCTCCCCTCCCCAGGGTGAGGGAGAGGAGGCTGGCCTTCGTCAGGTGCCCGTCGGCAAGGAGGCTGCCACCAGGGGGCACAATGGCGTGCGCCCTGAAGAGCCGGAACGCCGTCTGCATGTCGTCGTGCGGGATCGCCATTTCCCTCCTGCTGGAGGGGGCGGGACATCGTCCCTCCCTTCCTCCTGTCTCCTTCTCCTTCCCTCCCTCCTTCCTCCCTTCCACCCTCCCTGCCTCCCTTTTCCCTCCCTCCCTCCTGCCCCATCGCCTCCTCCTTGTCCTTTTCCTCCTCTTCCTCCTCCTCTTCTTCCTCCTCCGTCGCACCCCGAGACTGGTCGGTAGGGCGGCTCAGGCGTTTCGCATGAGGCGTCCTCCCGGCTTGTGATCCTGAAGCTGAAAATTTGAAACAACTTCACGGATGGAGGGCAGGTCGTTTTCATACGTTGGTTCTCGCCATACGGCCGCGCAAATTCGTTTTAAAAGTTCAGAATGTCTTCACGGATGGGGGGCGGGCCGTTTTCAAATGTGATTATCCCCTTAGCGCCGCGCACATTCGTCTCTACATGTTCGAAATGTGGCTCTCGCCTGAGCGCCGCACAAGTCCGTTTCAAATGTTAGCAAGAGCTTTACGGATGGAGATCAGCTTTTTTCAAAATATGAGCGCCGCGCACATTCGCCCTAAAAGCTTGCAAGAGCTTCACAGATGGTGGGCGGCTCGCTTTCAAAATATAGTTCTTGCCGATCGCTGCGCGCACATTAGTCGTAAAAGGTTGCAGAACTTCACGCATGAAGGGCGGCTGTTGTTCGATGTGGTTCTCGCCTGAGCGCCACGCTCATGCGTTGTGAAAACTTCTAACAGTCTGACAAGTGATTATGCTTGGCCGTCCCAGAAAATTTTGCTCCAGCACGTTTGAGGGCTGTCACGGCGCAACGTTCACGTTCATTCGCGGTGTTGAAAATCCGGGAATGGTGTTCTGGTGCGATTTAGGATGGGCCGGAAGAAGCGGTAAAGCTGATTCGCGGCGTTGGGGTCCAAGGAGTGGTGTATTTGGCACGAGTGAGGACTCGCAGATGGTTGTTTTCAAGCCCAGCATTCCCAGAAATACAAAAACAATTAAACGGTGCCCACTAAACCAAAGATACACAAACAACAACACTCACCCTGTGACGCACCCAACCCATTTGCACCAAGTGATAAGAGGAATTGACCCGAACTTGCCAGGACAATGACAGTGCAGGCGCCATTATATGTTGTGTAAGCTACGTGGGATACGCGCACGTGGCATGATTCTCAGGACAACAATAGAAGGACGAGGAGTGAGGGCCCCGGTTCGAAGAGGACATGGGGGTGGGAACGAAGAGCATGAGAAGGACGCGAGGGGGCCGAACAGTCAGCGCAGCAGCAGCAGAGAGAAGGTGACAGAGGGAGTCGGACGACGACGACAGCGACAGGAGGAGATAGGAAAGTGTTGCTTTTGTCGAGCCCAAGAGGCCTCCAGGAGGGCCCCAAGACGGCCCAAGAAAGCTCCAAGATTGACCAAGATGCGCTCAAGACAGCCCACACGACGGCCCCAAGGGGGGCCCAAGCAGGGGACCACGAAGCGAAAATTCTATATTTGTGCCCCGAGAAGCCCCCAGGAGGCCCCAAGAGGCCGACAGGAGGCCCCAAGAGGCCCCAAGAGACGACCAAGGCGCGCCCAAGAAGCCTCCATGAGGCCCAAAAGATACCCCACGAGGCCCCAAGAGGCCCCCAAGAGGCGCCCAAACCGCCTCCAAGAGGCCCCCGAGAGGCTCCCCCCCTTTTGCTTTAGCAAAGGGGTGCCTGGCGTGCCAGATGATATGGGTTTGGTTCTTTTTCCAAAAGAACTCCCCCTGGGGCTTCGGCCCGTCCCGCCGGGGTCCTGGGAAGGACCTCAAAACCTGGTTGCGAAGGTTTTCCCTGCTCCAGACGGCTCCAAGACGGCCCAAGATGGTCTCCAAGATGCATCCAAGACGGCCAATATGGCCTCCAAGACGGCTCAGATGGCCCCAAGATGCCTCCAAGACGGCCCAAGATGTACCCTAGACGGACTAAGATAGCCTGAAGATGGCCCAAGACGGCCCAAGAGGCCCCCAAAAGGCCTCCAAGACGGCCCAAGAGGCCTCCAAGAGGTCCTCCAGGAAGGCCCGAAGAGGCAAAATCATTATTTGTTCGTAGATTGTTGAAGGATTTTGGCATTTGCGCCTTTTCGGCTTTCCGACGGCCCCAGACGGCCCAAGAGACCCCCAAGATCGCCCCAAGATCGCCCAAGAGGCCTCCAAGATGGCCCCGTGACGGCCCAAGAGGCCTCCAAGACGGCCCCAAGAGGGCCCCAAGACAGCCGAAGAGGCCTCCAAGACGCCCAAGATGGTCTCCAAGACGGCCCTGAAGCGCCCCAAGAAGGCCCCAAGACGGCCCAGCGAGGCACCCCAAACGGCTTCCGACGGCGTCAGACGGGCCAGGAGCCTACCAAGATGGCCGAAGGTGGCTCGCAGCTGGCCCAAGACGGCCCTAGAGGCCTCCAAGAGGGCCTCCAGGAAGGCCAGAAAAAGCAAAAAAGACTGGTTTCTGTAGGTTGTTGAAAGATTTTGACATTTGCTTCGTTTCGGCCTACCGACGGCCCGATACGGCCCAAGAGCCCCCAAAGATCGCCCAAGGATCGCCCAAGAGGCCTCCAAGATGGCCTCAGAACGGCCCAAGAGGCGCCCAAGACGGCCCCAAGAGGCCCCCAAGACGGACGAAGAGGCCTCCAAGACGCTCAAGATGGCCTCCAAGACGGCCCACGAGCCCTCCAAGACGTCCTCCAAGAAGGCCCGAAAGGGTCAAAATAGCCTCCAGGCGGCCAAGATCACCTTCAAGACGCCCACGTGTTCCCCGAAGGCTTTCCAAACCGATTCGGGGAACACATGGTCCGATAGTTTGGCAGGTCTGCCCTCAACGTTCGGCCACATAGGCGCTTCCACAAAGACAGGGGGCGGCGGTGATTCGCCGTAGGCGTCTTCGATCCGCCGCCCCCTGTCGGTTCATCGCAGGGGTGCCTGGCGTGCTGAATCCTTTCGGTTTTGGTTTTGTTTCTTTTTCCAAAAGAACTCCCCCAGGGCCTTCGGCCCGTCCCGCTGGCCACCCGGAAAGATTGCCCAGGATCTCAATTCCCCAATGCTTCGCTCAAGATGGCCCAAGATGGCCTCCACGATGCCTCCAAGACGCCCAAGATAGCCTCCAAGACGGCTAAGATGGCCCCACAATCCCTTCAAGACGGCCCAAGATGCACCCAAGACGACCTAAGATGCCTCAAGATAGCCCAAGACGGCCCAAGAGGCCTCTAAGAGGTCTCCAAGACAGCCCGAGAGGCCTCCAAGAGGTCTTCCGGAAGGGCACGAAGAAGCCAAAATCATGTTTTCCATAGGTTTTTGATGGATTTTGGCATTTTCGCCCTTGCGGCCTTTCGACGGCCCAAGAGGCCCCCAAGATCGTCCCAAGATCGCTCAGGAGGTCTCCAAGATGGCCCCATGACGGCCCAAGAGGCCCCCGAGATGCCCCCAAGTTGGCCCCAAGACAGCCCAAGAGGCCTCCAAGATGCCTCCAACATGGCTAAAAGATGACCCCAAGATGCCTCCAACACGGCCCAAGATGCACCCAAAGACGGCCTGAGATGGGCTCCAGATGGCCTACGACGGCCCAAGAGGCCCCCAAGAGGCCTCCAAGAAGGCCCAAGAGGCCCCCAAGAGGTCCTCCAGGAGGGCCCGAAGACGCCAAAATCGTTGATTTCCCTTGGATGTTTGTAAGATTTTTGCAGTTTCACCTTTTTCGGCCTTTCGACGGCTCAAGACGACCCCAAAGGTCCCCAAGATCGCCACGAGGCCTCCACGATGGCCCCATGACGGCCCAAGAGGTCCCCAAGACGGCCCCAAGACAGAGGCGCTTCCAGAAAGGCAGGGGGCGGCGGTGATTCGCCGCAGGCGTCTTCGATCCGCCGCCCCCTGTTGATTCATCATAGGGGTGCCTGGCGTGCTGGATTTCTTACGTTCTGGTTTTGGTTCTTTTTCCGAAAGAGCTCCCTCTGGAGCTTCGGCCCGTCCCGCCAGCTGCCTGCCTCATCGGCTTCTTCGCTCACGATGGCCCAAGATGGCCTCCAAGATGCCTCCAAGACGGCTAAGATGGCCTCCAAGACAGCTAAGATGGCCTCAAGACGCCTCCAAGACGTTTCCCAGGATGCACCCAAGACGGCCTAAGATAGCCTCAAGATGGCCCAAGACGGCCTAAGAGGCTTCCAAGAGGCCTCCATGAGGCCTCCAACACGGCCCAAGATGCCTCCAAGAGGTCCTCCAGAAAGGCCCGAAGAGGCCAAAATCATTGATTTCCCTTGGGTTTTGAAAGATTTGGGGATTTGCGCCTTTTCGGCCTTCCGACGGCCCCAGACGGCCCAAGAGGCCCCCAAGGTCGCCCCAAGATCGCCGTAGAGGCCCCCAAGATGGCCCCTGACGGCCCAAGAGGCCCTCAAGACGGCCCCAAGAGGGCCCCAAGACGGCCCAAGAGGCATCTAAGACGCCCAAGATGGTCTCCAAGACGGCCCTGAAGCGCCCCAAGAAGGCCCCAAGACGGCCCAGCGAGGCACCCAAGACGGCTTCCGACGGCATCAGACGGGCCAGGAAGGCCCTAAGACGGCCAAAGAGGCCCCCAAGAAGCCCCCGAAGGCCCCCAAGAGGCCCAAGGAGTCCCCCAAGAGGTATCCTCCTCCTCCTCCTCCTACTCCTCCTCCTCCTACTCCTCCTGCTCCTCCTCCTCCTCCTCCTCCTCCTCCTCCTCCTCCTCCTCCCCTATGTGTTCCCCGAAGGTGTTCCACAACGGCTTAGGGAGCATTTCGCCCGATATTTTGGGCAAGCTCTGGCCCAACTTTCGGCCGAAGAGGCGCTTTCCAAAAAGGCAAGGGCCGGCGTCAGACGGGCCAGAAAAGCCTCAAGACGGCCAAAGAGGCCCTCAAGAAACCTTCAAAGTCCCTAGGAGCCCCAAGGAAGGAGGCTCCCGAGAGGCCTCCGAAAGACCCTCAGAGAGCTGTCAGGAGTGCCCACAAATGACCCAAGAGGCCCCCAAAAGGTCTCTCCCTCCTGTTCATCCTCTTCCTCACCTTC